CAACTGCCGTGTACGTCTGAAAACTGACAGAAAGGGAATCCATAGCCCCAAATGCAAGTAGATGGAAATGGAATGCGGTACGGTGGAGATAAAAACAGAAAGCAGCAACAGTCCCTCTATGGATTCGTGACTGTACGGATCAAGTAAGAGGTGTACGATGACAGTGAGGATCCATCCCAAACCTAGCTGTTGCACCCACCGACCATCTGTGAACACACCATACTCAGACTAGTGTTTATTTAATGAAAGTTTTATTGCTGACGATGATAGGTTTGACTAAGTAATTCTAACGGGAATGAATAAAAAAGACCAAAAACTCGGTAATGAAGCACGTTTTCAATTATTTGTAATCATGCCATCAAATAACACTAAATAGTACTAACAACAAGAACAAAAGGGAAAGAAAAATTCCAATTCTAATGGTTCACAGCTGGCTCCAAACGTGCATTCGTGTATGTTTGTGTGAAATCGAGCACTGTGTCGAAAGTTCAAGTAGTTGCACTCGTGCTGGGTTGGATGAACTAGCTCACGGGAGGTTAAACGCTTGCACGAATTTCTTCAGAGCACCCGGGGGTTGGGAGTTGTGAATCCGAATGATTGCGGCTTCGCTCGTGTCTAGGATTGTTCTTGTCCTTAGCCAAACCGGATGGAGTTCGCTTACGTGATCGGATAAGCAGCTGGCCATGCGGCCGATGTGTATGAGGTTGCAGAATCTGGCACCCTATCCTCCAGTCGGAAACAATTGGCTTAAATGGGAATACAGCTTTTTGTTATGCAGCGTGTAATGTCCAACTCACTGCCCCATATGTCCCTTGACCGGTAGCTTTACACATACAGATTTCTAAACTGCTCCTACTTCCTTTGGTCACTCCTCGTTGTCTTACCAACAGATAGTTATGGATAGTCATTTTGCGCTATAAACACTAAGTAAGAATTGAAGTTCATTATCAATGATGTCTGCCGAGCATATGTTCTTCGCTCTATGAATCAAACAACGAAGTGGATTTATTTTTCTCTGATGCGGATAAACCTCTGAAAATGAATCTACTCTCCATTCCAAATTGCTTTCCGATTCACTAATTACTGGGTGGATCTGCGGTGGTCATGAATACGCTGGCTGTGCTTTTCTTATTCCCTTTCGTTCTTGTGGTTAGTCCTATTTAGTGTTGTGTAATGACATGATTGAGAATATATGAAAACGAGCCGGTTCTCCACGCCGTTATTGTTTTTGTTCTCCTCAACGTGTTCTGTGTGACTATTTCAACGTGTGGCAATGAGTTAGTCGGAAATACAATCCGTAAGTATATGAGGTCCCCCAATAGAATGTGATTTTGATTTTTCATGGATAAAACTAGGTACTTTCGACATATGCGATCGGTGTTTCAATGGTTTATGACGATCTCCCAGAAAAGAACGCAGTGGTTTTATTTTAACAAATACTTTTCAAGTATTCTGGAAACAGGAGTTCATATCTGAGGATTTTTCATTTCACAGTAATATATAGACTGTTTTTCTATTGTTTATTTACTTGGTAATACAATTATACGGAGTTTATTTCCGGTATCAAAGAAAGTACGAATACATCACCCACGGTAATTTATCTCAAAGAAATGAAGGATAGCGCATCATTTATTACGCCCTCATCGTAAAAAACACTACCTGGGTTTATCATACATTGCACAGTCAAGGCG